TTAACAGAAGAATTAATCAGACTTTTTGTTTACCTACACAGATTTCATTTTAAATTCTCTTCTGTTAAAATATCACTATATTGAACAGACTTTATGAATTTCATTTAAAATGCTGATCAATTTATTGAAATATCACTATATACTATATACAGGGTATCTCCAATAAACTGACATCATTTAAAATGGGAATATCTGATTAACTTCATATCCCAGGCAAACAAAATTAAATAGGCTTCATTAAAATTTAAACAAAATATTCAAAGGGATGTAGATTTTATAACCAATTTCACAAAGCTTCACAAATGTTGAATATGTGCACCACCCATGACATGACACATGTCAAGTCGATAGTCCAGCTCCTACCAAACACCCTGTAGCATGTCTTGTGTAACATTCTCCAGCATCTCTGTGATTCTCTGCTTAAGTTCCTCTAGGTTTGTAGGAAGAGGTGGGAATATAGACCTGTCCTTTCACATAGCCCCATAGAAAAAAATCAGGTGCCAAGCAAATGGAATGTTTTTTTTTTTTTTTTAAGCGTTCAACCCCAAGCAAGGTGGGAAGCCACTAGCACACAAAGGGTTTCAGAGTAGTAGCGAGAATTAAGAGGAGTGATAGAGGGAAGGATGAAGAGACGGTTAGAGGATAGATCAGGGCATCTGGAGATGTCGATTGACATTACATTTGAATAGTTGGAGATTATAGCTATCAGGAAAACAAGAAATGAGGAGGGAGTTCCACAGGCGAGAAGTGCGAGGCATGAAGCTATTAGAGTAGAAGAGACAGCTACATTGAACAGTTTTGACAGTGAAAGGGTGAGAGTGAGATGTCAGCCTAGCTGAACGCTTAGATTCATGAAGTTTGGGAACCAGTGAAAGCAGCTCATCGGTGCAGTTACCATGAAAGTATTTGTAAAAAAGACAGAGGGAGGCAACGGCACATCTGTGAGAGAGCAGCTGCAGATGAGATGCCAGATCATGGCCAATTACATTGCATATCTGTCTTTGGATTTTACCAAGGACCTTGAGACAATTAGAAGGCGCTCTGGACCATATATGGCAGCAATACTCCATGCAAGGGCGGTGTTAGTCATTTCAACAGTACATTGTCATTATTACTGTCTTGCCTGATCTAGCTTCTTGGTAGATTCTGATTGAGATAAGTCCACAAAGTCAACTTAGTTTTTATACATTTTGTTAAAATTTGAGATCATTTGAGCATTGAATTGGCTATGTTATTATGATGTCATTTTTTTTGGACACCCTGTATATCATTATATCTGTGAGAAAAAGAGCATCATGATGCAATTCACTTGACCATAACTGTCCTGAGTATGATGATAAACTACATCTGCATCCTGGGTAAGATGATAAACTACATCCAACAGCAAGGCCTCTGATCAGGAGGTTTGGAAGAGCATAGAACCACCACTTTATTGCTGGTGTTCCCAGAACCACTCTGAGCCATGGTGTTAGCACCTGTAAGGGTCCCAACTATGGACAAATAGTTAACCCCAAAACTGGGTTTAAATCCCTTCAATACATTTTTTGATGAAAAATTATTACCAGCAATACATTTTTGTAAATAATTATGACCAACCATACATTATTATCAGCAGTACATTTTTGAAGAAAAAAATATTACCAGCAATATATTTTTGTAAAAAAATATTACCAGTAATGAATTTTTGTCAAAAAAACAAAACAAAAACCCCCACCAAATATACATTTTTGAATGAAATATATTACCAGTAATAAAAATTGTGGGCATTAAATAATCTATTGAGGTTGATATGCTGTAAAACAAAACAAACCAAACTTGACCAGAAATTTGGAAACAGCATTCTGTACTGCTTGGTATTTGCACCAGAAGCTTGAATATGAACATTTCAGAGTGTTTGGGTGTCAATCTGTTGACAGTGCAGAGAATTCAGAAAGAGTTAAATGAGTCTAATGTTGATTACAAAGGAACTGTAGCTCAGAAAACTCACTCTGATCATTCTAATAGGAAAAATACTCCCAAATTTGTTGGTGAGATCCAGGCCATAATTGAAAACAATCCCTTCAATTCAATCAGGTCCATAGCCAGGGAGGTAGTTCTGCCCTGGGTCAAGAGTGGGGCTGCTGGAAGACCCTATGTATGGCAATAGGACTCTGCACTATGCCACACAAGCAAGAGGACCCAGCCATGGCTATCAGACAATGTCTGGGACCATATCACTCCTTACATCTGGCCACCTAACTCAACAGACTCCACCCCCCCTTGAATATTATGTGTAGGCTGCAGTTGAGAGAGAGAGAGAGAGCGCAACAAACTTCTTGTAACACCAAAAATGAACTGAAGGCAAGGATTATGGCAGCATTTACTAACTTAGACAAGGAGATCATTCAGAAGAGTTGCAAAAGATTCCAAAGTTGTCTGAAGCCAATGACAGTTTTATTGAATAAATTTACTCTTTAATATTTCAATATATTTTTGTGTCATTTTGGTAAATATATCTGTTAAAATGAGATGTAAGTGATATTTTCATTTTTATGCCATTTAGATGACAATTTATTCATCGCACATTATATATCATTAATATCACTATATATTAATATGAAATATCACTATATTGAACGGACTGTTTATGAATTTCATTTAAGATGTTGACCAACTTATTGCCTTTGTTAAAAAGATACAGAATGGAAAAAATGTAAAAAAATTGAGTGAACAGATTAGGAAATTATTTGCTTTCAGCCATTTTTTACTAATTTCAAGTCTAAAATTGTCTAACCACTTGACCATTATTCCTGACAAATCAGTTGTTATTTGAAGTCATGCATAGGTAAATCTATTATGCGTAATTTCAGCTGATCAGATCCATATTTATAGCCAAAGGAAGGAAAATTGTGGAAATAGTAATATGATCTTAGACTTATGTATTAGATTATTCATAAGATTATTGCCAAGACTACTTCTCTTTGTAGGTGAAGCATCAAATCTGGTGGCTTTTGAGTGTTTGAAGAAAATAGAAAATAATTCTCTTGTTAAATTTGATCTGTAAATGTTGGTTCCTGTATCTGAATTGGTAGAGCAGCTATCATGGTAAGATAGACATTCTGAAGAAACAGTTATGAGTTTGAATTTCATTAAGAGCTTAGTCTTTCATTCTGATCCACACACTGTATTCATGGCCCTTGAATGACAATCTGAGTAGTAGTAAAAAAAAAAAAAAAATGAAGAAAAATACCAGCAATAATACTGCATTTTATGTTTCCTCATAGTAAATTGCTAATTTCTATGTCTTGTTCAGTATCTTGAGGATACAAAGGATAGTCACAAAGTGAGGAAGGAAACCTCCAACATTTCTGCAGCCTCCAAAACTCATTTGTTATACATAAAAAGAACTTTTAATAATAATAATAAAAATTAATTGACTATTAATATTATTGATTGATTATTAATATTAATGATATTAATACAAAAGGATATTAATAAAATTGAGAGATTATATCAAAATGAATAATTTATCCAATGTAGCATGCATTCTTTTCATTTACATACACAACACAACCGAGAAAATAACACAAAAGTCTTAATTCCTTATTTCCTTGGACATCTTGAAGTTATTGATGTTAGTGTAGGAAGTGTTGTTATTGGCCTGCCCCCAACACATTGTTGTTTAGTAATTTTTACTCTTGGCTGGCACAGGGCCATAACTTCTCAGACCAGAAATTAGCAAAATTAATTTTGTAGCAATTCTGCTTTTTCTTGGCTTTGTAGCTGGGATCAGTGTCCTGGGTCCACAAATGTCCTCTCTCTCACGCACTCACACACACACACACACACACATATATATATATATATATATATATATATATATATATATATATATATATATATATAAGACAGTCTTTTCATTATCCAATGCAATCTTCAAGTCATAACATTGCATTCAAGTGGGAAACAGATTGTTGCCACTGGATGTTGACTTCAATGTCCACACTTATATTTACATACACTCTGTCCCTGACATTAAACACTTTAACCCATGAATATACTGTACCATAAAACTATATTTTCATGATATATATATATAAAATTTCAGATCTGCTCTATCTGTAAAAGGATAATGTGAATAAAGAGTAAAGGAAAACTTATCTGATTCATTTCCTCCTTTGCATTTCATTTGACTTGATAAAGTTCCTCATAGGATGAAACATGTTGGCTAAGATAAATTTTCCATTTGTCTTTATTCACATATGTGCACATGCACACACACACACACACACACACACACACACACACACACACATATATATATATATATATAATATATGTTTGGACAGAAATTTTTTCAAACATGTTTCATTAAAAATGACAGGCAAGGAAAATTTGATTAATTTTTTATTGAGATTTTCTGATGTGTGTGAGTATTATATATATATATTTATATATATAGTGGCCTCTCACATTGTATTCAACATATGAGGGTCAAGCAGCTCAGTTTCTAGGAACTGACAGCCAGATACTAGTACATATGATTTGATTATAGTGGTAAAGGCTTTGTGCAGAAATAACCACAATTTTCGAAAGGCCAAATACAGAGACCTGGTGCACAAGGGTATTAGCACAAAAGTGTAAGTAATGGATTCGACTGGAATATATATATATATATATATATATATATATATATATATATATGACAGAGAAAAGGGTAGTTAAAAAAATTAACATAATATAATAATTGTCTATTATGAATCCATAATGTTGGCATTTCACAAAATCCTAACTAGTTCAGGAATTTTTTCAGATTAGTTGACATTAATTTTAAATATAATAATTTTGAATAATTTTATTGCAAAGCTCCAGCTAATATTTTCTGATCTTCTTCAGGGTTTATACTGTATTTTGCTATTCTTATGCCTTACTCAGTTGTTGTTTTGTGCTCCCTTAAAAAGAAAATTCAGCTTGGCAAAGACTCTTGTGAAATTTCATATTTAGATCTTTGAATTGTGTTACATGGAAATACCAATTCTCATTTGATCACTGAAGTTAAGCAATATTGAGCTAGGTCATTACTCAGATGGGTGATCACTTGGGAATATGCTTTAAGCTATGTGATATACCTACCTAGCAAGCTGTGGTGATGATACTTAGGACCATTGCTAAATCTTGACAAAAACAATATAAAACTCACTATTTTTTTAGCCATAATGTTGAATGTGTTAAAAAAAAATTCAACTTTTTAAGAAAAATCTCAAGTTGATATTAAAAATTGCTGTAAAACATTGTTGATCTACTTCAGATGGAATGATCTAATATGACATGTCTCTAGTTCGTATTTAGATACATTGTATTTATTTTCAATTTTTCTACTTCAATTGTTCACTGGTATTGCATATGATCCATTATTGTACATTAGCTTATAATAAAATTTATATTTTATATGAATATTACCTTATGAGAATTGAGATGTAGTGAAATGGGTGGTGGACCCTCTATCATAGATTCAGTGGGGGGTCCACAAGATCCTAGCACCAGTGTTACTTATACTAACATCTTGGGTTATGTGGAGGTGCTTCTGGACTGATAGGTTGCAAAACCGACCTGGAGTTGGGTTAGAGGAATTTTAACCTGAAGAATTTATAATTGATATTCATGAGATTATCTTTGTTTCTTTATTATGAAACATTTTGCAAGCAGTATTCATTTTTGAGTCCTGTTTCTTTCATCTTAGTTTTTGGTGTTTTTCATTGCAACAACTTAGACCTTCTGTAGGCACTGGAAATAAAGAACAAGTTGATGGTCTAGAGTCGTTGCATTGAAAAGTAACTAGAACTAATGTCATTGGCAATATTTTATGATGGTCACACCTACTTCCAAACTACATTTACCGTTTCTGAAGGAAATCATATTGCTTTTGCTCATGGGAAGAGTTTTTTTTCCTCAGTTGTCTAGATCAAGGTAAAAGCCAAATAGCTACTGGCTGTGTTGTTTATGGCACTGCAGTAGCAATTTTCAAGCATCCAATTTTCAGAAGTTAACAAATTTGTACAACCATTTACATTTTGTTTTTGTCTCACAATCATGTCAGTTTTAATAAAAAAAGAAATAACTGATTTACCCTTTATTGTCTAATAAAATGTAAAAGTCAATTTTGAGCAGTGTCTTAAAACTAAGATATTTATTTAAAATGTTAAAGTTAAATTATTTATATTATTTAAATTTGGACTACTGTCCTCATCTTTGTTGTTATCACGATGTTTCAACCATTGTGCCTTCTGTTCTTCATCAGTTGTATATCGATCTGGGTAACCTATAAGGAATTCTGAACTGAACTCTTTATTTAATTTAAGTGGGCAGACTGTCCTTGTCCAACACTTTAATCCACTAGGACTAGTGGATAAAAAATTGTTTAATGGCATATCAACTCCTTATGGGTCATTTAATGCCAAAATTTAATTTTCTTGGGTGCATTAGTAATTTCTTTTAATTTGCTGTTAATATTTTTTTCTTTTTTACAAAAATGCATTGCTGGAAATCTTTTACTATGAAAATGTATTGCTGGTATTTTTACTATAAAAATGTATTTTTAAACTTTCATAGTGTTTTGACCCCAGTTTGGAGATTCACTATTTGCTTATAGTTGGAACCCTAACAGGTTTTACTGCCTCAGGTCAGGGTGGACTTGGGAACAGTAGTAATTAAGAAGTGGTTTTATGCTCCTCAAAACCTCCAGTCTCTCAATCAGAGGCCTTGCTGCCAGATGTAGTTTATCATCATACCCAGAACTAGTGGATTAAAGTGTTAGTTTGGGAAATTGGTGACATAGTGATTGAGAGTTCAATCCCTGGGTCAGGCAGTGTGTACTTGCACTCAATGGAAACAGATGAGCAACAACTAAATAGTACTAAATAGAAGTAAGAACTAGACAATATATCCCGAGATGTAACCAGTGGAACGAGAACAGTCTAATCCTGTAGATTAAATAAAGGGTTCAGTTTAGAATTCCCTGTAGGTTACTCATATTGATGTACACCTGAGGAAGGCTGAAGGCTATAATGACTGAAATGTTGTGATAAAAATAAGGATAAGTACAGTAGTCTAAATGATAACTCCTCATCACAGAAATTAAAGACAAAGCTATTTAAATTATCATCCTCAAAATATTCAAAAGAGAAAGCTATTTAAATTATTATCCTCAAAATACATTAAAATGGTATGAAAATGTGCTTTCATTTTTATATATAACATCATTTATCGCAACAAATTTCATGGAAGATCATAATCAGCATTTTAAAGTAGGCGTTTATATTCATGTTCCTAAATTAAGTTATACCGATATATATATATATATATATATATATATATACACGCACATGCACTAAAGTATTTTCTGGTGGTGGTGGTGGTGGTGGGGCTGATCACGAAGGATGACCTAGAGCCATGAAATGTACTGAAATGTACCTACTACATCTTCACCTCACAGATGAACAAACTATTTACGTGATTTGAAAGTTTTTTTTAACATTTTCCACACCAAATTCTGATGTCTGATCATTGAAATACTGATAATGCCAAGTTAGTTAAGCATATTTATCTA